AAGTGGGGTTTGCCAGGGACTGACAGGGCCCAATGCTGTTGAATGTCTTTGTAAGTGACCTGGATGATCAAGTGTACCATGGCAAAGTTTGCTGATGATACCAAACTCAGTGGGGAAGTGGACATTTAGGAAGGGAGAGCCACCCTGCAGAATGACATGGTATGGCTGGAAGAGTGGGCTACCAAGTACCTTACGGAGTTCAACAAGGATAAGCATAAAGTCGTGTGCTTGGGAAAATATAATCCAGGAGTACAGCACAGGCTGGGATCTACCTATCTTGGGAGCAGAACTGTGGAAAGGGACTGTGGGGTCCCAGTGGACAACAGGCTCAATATGAGTGAGCAGCAACAGCAAACATCCAAGAGGATGCTGGGTTGCAGCAACAAGGGCATCACCAACAGAGAGAAAGATGTCATTGTCCCAATCTACTTAGCACTTGTTAGGCCTGGAATACTGTGTTCATTTTTGTTGCTACTAAACAAAATCAATGTGGACAGGCTGGAGAGAGCCCAGGCGCCAGGGAAGGGCCACAAAGATGATTAAAGGACTGGAAAGCCACCTGAGGAAAGGCTGAGAGAACTGGGTTTGTTTGGCTTTGAGAAAAGAAGTCTCAGGGGAGACCTTAACACCATGTACCTTAACACCATTTAAAGGATGGCTACAAAGATGGAGACTGCCTTTTTATAAGGAGTCAAATGGAAAAGAAGAGGGGTGATAGGCACAAGTTACTCCTAAGGAGATCCCTCTTGGACAGAATGAGAACATCAGCAATTGGAATAATCCCCCCAGTGAGTGGTGAATTCTCTGACATTCAACACTTCTAAGATTCAGCTGGACAGGTTGCTGGGCCACCTTGCCTAGACTGTCCTTTTGCCAAGAAAGGTTGGAGCAGATGATCCTTGAGGTCCCTTCCAACCTGGTGTTCTATGGTTCTATGACATAACTTTCAACCAGGATCAAACTGAGATCTTACCTGTAGTAATTAGTCAATTCTATATAACTTCACATCTTTTACTATGGATGTCTGGTCTGTTTCTCAAAGAACATACTTGAAATTATTCATCCTTATATAAAACACCTTAAAATAACATGTAGGAGAATGAAGAATTTCCATCAAGAAAATTTATGCATAGGAACAAAATTCTCCCCCTCTCCAAAATGGCAAAGTAAGTTAAATATTTCTGTTAAAACACTAAAAAAAAAAAAAGATCAACACAAAAGTTTAACGATGTAGTCTCAAGCTTGCACACACAGGAAGTATGCTACCCATAAAATCAGGGGAAATAGATTAGCAATCTAGAGACCAGATGGTTAGTATTTACTTGCTGCATAACACCACCAAATGTTCCTAAATTTCTTTTTCAAATTTGCCTTTCACATTACATTATCAGCATAGGAACTGATCCTGCAAACATATACATACTGAGTTCAATAAATTTATTCATTTGAGTAGTCCCATTTACTGTAGTACAACAGACTGTTCACAGAACCAGGCTGCCAATTTAGGGTACAGCTACAGAGTTATAAACTCTTCTTGCCTCTGCTGAATTGGGCAGATCAAATCTGGAAAAGTAAGTTAGGAATTCTGGACATGTTTTTTTCTGCTGATTTTGTACTTTCCAAGAGAGATAGCTGTTTACTGAGAACATCATAAAAGAGATTCCATGTCCATAAATATATGGCCTGGTTTTGTGGATAACTGTTAACCTTGGCAGGGCCTGAAATAAAATTAAATCTTAAAATGCTTCTCCAATTTGAATTCAAGGAATAAAAGTCACAAACTATTTTAAGCAGCAAATTGTTAATACCAACATGAAAGAATGTGGTTTAATTACAATGGGATCTTTATAAAAATTACTTAACAGCTCTTTGTGAGTTTCTGAAAAATATTTTTGCTTCCAAATATTTGTCCAGAGGCTTATTTTTCTCTGGTGGGGTCACTCTTCACTGTATCCTATTTATAACTTGTCTAAGTTATCTTTTGGAGTTATCTGTTCAAAATACACAGAATTTCACTAGTGTTAGCTCTTCGTAATGGACCTTTTCCCATTCAGCTTTATGTTTTTCCTTCCATTTTCACTTTCCTGTCTTCTAAAATGTTGTGTTCCTTCTCATCCCTGTCATTACCAGCTTTTCTGTGGAGGCGTTTACTTTGCCCCTTTGCCCAACATTTTTTTTCCTATCTTTCCTTTTATCACAATCCGCCTCTCAATTGCTCCCATGTTTCTCAATGTCTCGTTTTCTCATCTGCCTCCTCAGGTTCTTTTCCATTCTATTTTTACATCACTCACAAAGTCACCTGCCTCCAGGCAGTGTGTTTCCTCCCCTATTTATTTTTTTCCATTTGCACCATCTGTGTGTGTTTATGTAATACAGGCGCTCCATTTAGTGAAAGTGATATCGTACTGTGCTGACCCCGTTACTACCCTGAAAATAAGGAATTTATTTTCCTATGCAAGAGTTTATTTGTTGATCACACTTTGAGAAGGCACGAGGGAGTTCCTTTAATGTCATAGTTACAGTGATAAACTTCAGTAACCCCTGATGTGCTCTGCTTGAATACTTATTACACTCTAAACTCCCTACTCATATAGACACAGCAGCAGTGTCTCAGTTTTGCCAAACCAGGAATTGTACCAAGTGTTTTAATTCTAGGCAGGTCTTTCAAGTTATAATTAGTCAGAATATTTCAGATATTTAAATTATCTTTACCTGCAGTTAACAGTCCCAGATAGATGAGAAATCTATGCCTAACTTATAAAACATATAACAAAAAATAAGCAAAACCTCCAAACACACAGAAAAATCACTCAAACTATTTGTTCAAGTAAATGCCTAGTCATTACTAAAGCTAACAAAACAGCAGCAAAAAAGAAACTATGGGTAGGGAGGGAATTTTCAAACTGTTGCCAAAAAGAGTCTTAGAAAAATTCTGTCATATATGAAACTAGTTCTATTTGCCTAAAGCAGTGCTGTGTTCACTCTGTGGATAAAAACAGGGCTAGAAAACAGATAACCCAGAAGGATGGAAATAAAACCCTTTGTTAAAGAGATGAGGTTTTAAACTTCTAAATTTAACTACTACAAAATTGATGTTTTATAGAGAAACAGAATCTCACAACCTTCAGAAAACACTACTTCCTTTAATGCAGTTATGTAAGACAATGTTCAAAGTCTCATCTAGAATGCTGTATATCATCTTGGTCATTCACCTTTAAAAAGCATGAACTCAAAGAGCAAAATCAGCAAAACAGTCATCAGAATAATCCCTACCTTACAAAAGAAGGGCTGCATGGGACTCGACCTCTGGTTCTCAAGAGTAAACACTACAGAAAGCAGCAAAATCACAGTGTTCATACAAGAAGAAATTAGTATACATTGACCAGGAATAATCCTAGAAGCAATCTCCTAAATTGCAGCTTACCCAGCTGTAATGCAGCTCTTCATATAATTCTTTGAACAAAAATGTAATTTGTTTTAAGATACAGGTCCACACATTTACAAAAAAGGATTATATGACATGGTTGCTTGTGCTAGCAGGGAATGAATCAGTGGATTTCCTCCATTCCTGTGTTCCTGTAGCACTGGAATTATAATTCTCATAGCATGCAAGGAGAGAGGCTATCTACTCTAAGGTGCAAGGTTCAAATCTGCTGCCATTGTTATTGCTTATTAATTGGATTTAATTGCTATAAGATTCAAGTAGGTAATATCAGTAAATATTTTTAATTCCCATGGAGTTAGGGAATAGTTTCTTTATATCTTACTGTAAACAAATTAAAGTGTCAGGAACACTGTGACGTGGATATATCAGCCTACCCAATAGGCTGACATCTGGAATGTATAAAACTATGACAAAGCACACAACATATATTCCCTCTCTCTTATATGCCTGTATGACAGTGCTCTGGCAAGTGTTCTGGTCACCCATATGACATTAGGAATAGTCCTGTTTTTAAGAGTAGCTCTGCAGACAGAGATATAATAAGGTTTCATTATTCTGTTTCAGATATGACATTCAGTTTCCACTTTTCACTTTTGCTAAGCGTCAGCTGTGACCCTACCTTTGCAGAATCACACCAGACAACTGCCATTTTCCCAGTCACCCAATCATCAGAGTAAAGGTGGAGTGAAGGAAAGTTACTTAAAAGCTTTTCCTTCAGCAGCCACCATTTTCCTGCAGGTTCAGTCTTCTTCTACATTTGCATTATCCTGTTGTCATGAATTAAACTGTAGGAACTGGGCCACATTTACACACTTAATCATTCTTAATCTTCATACCTGCAGGATCTTCTAAGAAATATTTCCACATATTGTTAATTTGCTTGGTGAGCATAACCTTCATCTTGTTCACCAACCATAATTACAGATTAATTGGTTGGATCTGGGGTTTAAACTAGTTTAGCTAACATTCACTTAGGCACCAGTACATTAAATTATATAGGAAAATGCAAACACCTTAGAAAACAAAGTTTTAAGAGTGGTTATTATTTAATAGTGAGAATGGAAAATGGCCTGAGTTCCTAGTACTAACATTAATTGTATACTTTCTAGACCTGAATCTAACCTTCAGTTTTGAAATATAGTGAAAGCAGCAGAAATACGATCTTCAAGGAGGACGCAAAAAGAAATGGTATATAGGGAATTCAGCCAACGAATTTCTGGATTTATATTAAAGGTTATTTCAATGTCGTATTTCATTAAAGAACCAAACACTTGCTTTAAATACAATCCTTTATGCCTCCGGCTCCCTCTTGTGGTGTATCGATGTTGATCTGCCTTGCAGACCACACCTTAGAACATCTAATTGCACACCAAAGCTGTGCCACAGCAAATACCACTGCAGGGGTGTTGAATGTTCTTCTTTACTTCCATCTCTACATTTTGGCATCAGTATAGGAGATATTTACACTGCAAATAAGAATTAAAAGCCTTTGACTATGGTTACCTCTCCCAGTATTTTTCACTGTCCCAAAGCATATCTGCCCAGCGATAATAAATAAGTTTCTTCTTTTTCTTTATTTCATTTGATAGATTATATATATTTATGTATATACACACAGTACAATATTTTTCTTTTGTAATAGAGAATAAATGAGAATTTTCATTGCTGGTTGTTCTTTAAGTCAACAGATTCCAGTTAATAATGAAAAAAATTAAACATTTAATATCAAAAGCAATTTCAAGTATCTTCTATACATTTTAGTATTCAGTATATAGTTAGGTGGTTTGAGGGGTTTCTTTTTATATCAAAAGTGTATTTGAATAGACTATTTTTAACCTAATACTTTAGAGTACTATTAATATCAGGCAGGGAGTTTAAAATTATGTACCTCATGGTCCTAACTAGCTCTTCACAAGAGCCATAGGTCACTTGTACAATATTTGTTTCAAAACAGGGTTTAATCATCAGCAAAGTCAAGATGCAATTACCATGTTTAGAAATGCAGTATTTTGTTCTACAACAGGTCAAGCTATAGTCCTTGATGTGAATCAATGTACAACACCACTGTCTGTATAACAGTACCTGACCTAGGCATAAATAGTACTGAAGTTCCCAGAGCTATTCATCCCTTAACCTTTCTGTATAAAAATAATTCAACTTAGGCATATATTGCACTAATTTTATCATACTGTATAGCTCTCATTCTGCAATATCTGTTCTCTTTGCTTAACTAAGATTACACTAGGGTTTTAATTTCCATGGAAAACCTGGGAATAGGGCAACAGACACACATACGGTGTGCAGTAAGGGGATATCTATTATATCAATAATAATCTCAGAGGCATTCACAAAGCAAACTACACATTAGATTTGGAGATCATTTTTTCCAGTAGATTCATCATTCTCTCCTGTAACTGTAAGCTTTGAACTTGAATGATGTTTTGCTGATCCAGAATCCTGCGCACTTCTCTACACGTTTCTTCCATAGCTCTACTCAACTTCTTCTGTTCTTCCAACATGGCTTCCATTAATTTTAGCTTCTTCTTTTGGAAACTGCAGCTTTGCATTTTTCTTTTCTTAACTGGTCTTTCTTCAGCTCTGAAATGTGAATATTTGTTAATTAAACTCATTTATATAAAAAGAAACCTATGTTAGAACCTAAAATTCTATAGTACATTCTTGGCCAAGCTACAGCCTAGTCCTATTTTTAAACCCCTCTGTGCTCTCCAATAAATCTCCTCTCAAGTTTGTGCCAAAACATAAGTAGTTAATGAGAATGGCTTACTTACTTGCATAGTCTTACAGGCTGAAAAAAAAAAAAAAAAACAAAAAACAAAAAACAAAAGAAAATAATTAAAAAAAAAACACCAAGGAAAAAACCACAATTTGTAAATCTCATTGTTTTTAATGCAAATTTTCCATGGAGAAAACAAGTCATCATTTCAGGGGGAGGTGTTTTTTTTTAATCTTGATTTCCCTTACACATTGAATTTATAAACTGCATTGGGAGAGGCCAAATTTTGCTTATTTGGCCATTAAAACTCCAATTTTAAAGCTGCAGCAACCATCCCACATAGAGAAAGTGCTGCATTGTTACGTGTGGTGTAAGTTAAAGTTTGGTTTTTAAAGCATCACGTAAGTAAGGCTGGTCCCACTACAGAATACTAATCTCAGAACTAGCCCTTGCACTGAACACTTATTTGTATATTTCATCACAAAACATTATAAAGGACATAAAAATCTAGGAAGATAAGGCTTAGAAGATTCCTTCTTTTCTTAGTGGATGAGAGAAAATCTGTGAATGTCTACCTGGACTTCAACTAAGCCTTTGACACCATTTCCCACAACATTCTCCTGGAGAAACTGGCTGTTCATGGCTTGGACAGGTGTACTGTTTGCGGGGGTAAAAACCGGGGTAGATGGCTGGGCCCAAAAAGTGGTGGTGGATCGAGTTAAACCCAGTTAAACCCAGTTGGTAGCCAGTCACAAGTGGTGTTTCCCGGGGGTCAGCACTGCTCCGTTCTATTTGATATATCTACCAGTGATACAGATGAGAGGAGTGTTTCTTCAATAAGTCTGTAGATTACACCAAGTTGGGTAGGAGTGTTGATCTGCTGGAGGGTAGGAAGGCTCTGCAGAGGGATCTGGACAGGGTGGATTGATGGCTGAGGCCATTTTTTGTGAGGTTCAACGAGGTTCAGGCCCAGGTCCTACATTTGGTCCACAACCCCATGCAATGCTACAGGCTTGGGGAAGAGCAGTTGGAAAGCTGCTCAGTGGGAAAGGACCTGCGGGTGCTGATTAATGGAGCTGAACGTGAGCCAGCTTGTATCCAGACAGCCAAGAAGTGCAACAGCATCCTGGCCTGTATCAGCAATAGTGTGGCCAGCAGGGCCAGGGCAGTGATCATCCCTCTGTACTGGGCACCTTGAACACTGTGTTCAGTTCTGGTCCCCTCACTACAAGAAAGACATTGAGGTGCTGAAGCAGGTCCAGAGAAGAACAACGAAGCTCATGAAGGGTCTGGAGCACAAGTCTTACGAGGAGTGGCTGAGGGAACAAGGGTTATTTAGCCTCAAGAAAAGGAGGTTCAGGGGGAGCCTTACTGATATCTAAAAATACCTGAAAGGAGGTTGTAGTGAGGTGGAGGTCAGTTTCTTTGCCCTAGTAATAAGTGAAAGTGGAAGTGTACTGCACATTCTCAAAACCTTCAGTTACAGCCGGGTAACTTCTTTTCTAACTTAAATAATAGTCCACATGTTCATTCACACTTTTTCTAACTCCAGACTGGATTCCCCAGCATCATAGTTATCTGATGATAGGCCTTTTATGTCCCTTTATGCAAAGAGCAATCTCAGTCATGTTCTGCCAAACGCAGTATCCTTTCTAAATAGGATGTAATGAGATGGCACAGTTATGAGTCGTATGCCATGTCAACACCTTGCAGATTTCAAGACATCCATGAACAAGGATAACTTGAACTCTTGAGGAATGTGTTTTATTAATGTGAAGAAAGGGAGGGAGGTCATTGAGCTGTGGCAGATTTGTATCATAATTTCATTCACATTTTTATCCTACTTGACAGGCTTTGTGCAACAATGACTGTGACATTCAGATCTCTCAGGAAGAGAAATAAACAATCCTAAGCACCTGAAAGACTTAATGCAAATATAACAAAAAGACACAAGCCCCTTGACATTCAAGAGTGCAATTACCCAAAAAGGGTGAGGTCTATGAAAAGAAACAAGTGGATTAAATTAAATGCTATTAAAATCTTAGAAGGAAAAAAATAGAATTGCTCTTGAGGGAAACTGTGAGTACTCTAGACATTTGAATGTGCTGTCCCCTTATGCACAGGTAAGAAAAAACATCAATCTTGTTTAAATATGTTTTAAATGTACACTAACATAGTGAACACTGGTTTTCAGATTATCCAAGACTTTAAATTTACTTGTACAATTCAAAGAGTTTTAGCACCATTACACTGCTATAATAATACTAAAGGTGAAAGGAGAAGTCATCATCTTTATGCTAAACAAAATTTTGGAAGTTATACAAAATAAACTCACTTTTTGTAGATTCTACATATCATATTTGATTCTGAGCATCAAATAAATGTGAATAAAATGAATACATGCTGCTCTACTCAAACTGTGAGTCAAACTTGCAGCTGATCGCTGAGATTATCACAGCCAGACAATCCTGAAAGAGCGAGTCTTGGCTGACTGCAAATTCTGTTTGCCCCCATTAGCTCTAAGGGCTGGAATGATTTGAAATGTGATTCTCAGAGAGGTCAGGCAAGTGGAAAAGGTCTACAGCAGCCTAAGGACAACACTGAATCTGTTATTCCAAGGCTCCCATCACTGCACTCCCATTCACAAAGAACACATGCTTTCTGATAGGCTGAGCAAGAAATGTTTTGAAATGATGGTATTAGTTTAGCTAAAGTCACCTTTTGAATTTAAACCTGTCTTCCCAGAAGATTTAAACATTGAAAACTCAATCGATCTCTATCCTCTTCCCTATACAGTACTAGAAAGCAGCTATGGTAAGACCTCCTGCCTGAAACATGTAAGAACTGGCTCCTAGAGCCACAAGAGGGCTTGTGTCTTGTCGAAGTAAGCCCTGGTGAGAATGGTCCTTAATAAGGAATGAGAGAGAAAATCTGGGGCATGTCAGTGGTACTGAGCTGCACTGAGCATTGCAGGACTTTCTTGGCAATTGTGGCTGCCATGTGGGTTTTAATTTCAATGGAGACCAAAAAATAAAATAAATTAAAAAAGGAAATGTAGTGATTTGGATGGAAAGATCTAAAATGAGCCTTATTTTTAAGGAAGGGAAAATAAAATCTTTGAAATGTTTTCCTAGGGTCTGTGCAGGATTTTATCTGTTTTTTTCAGTTAAATTTGGTTCATAAAAAGCCTATAAGATGTATAACTATACATCCAATGCAATAACTGCCTTGGGCAGCTACAGAGAGGAGAGAGAGGCAAAATGTCTGGTGGTGATGGCAGCTACCTGGGGAACTGTGTCAGCAATATCTGTATTCAGCCAGTAGCTGAGCAAGCACTCAGTGACAAGTGCCTGCTCACAACAGGTTTCAGCTCAGAAAAGTCCCCCCAAAAGCCAGGGCACAAGGATTCTTCAAGGTCTGCTAAGTACTCTTTCTGTTTCTTTACAATTAACAAACACAACTCAGTAATTAGTCTTCACTGAAAAGAAATTTCAGATATCCCTGACTTTGGTGGTGTTCCCAATCTCCTTTTCTCTCCAGCCGTAAGGACTAGTAATGAGAGTTTTATGATCATTCACAAGTATATAGACTTGGAATTTACAATCCTCTCTTTGCAGAATAGCTCTTGAAGGAGAGCTCTTGAGAAGAGTTCTACAAAAGAAGGATCTAAGGAATCTAATTTACGAATAAAGAACCCTCAGCACCAGGGAACAATGTAAAAAGTCCAGTGATGCCTGAAGGAGTTACTTGAATACTGAAGTGTTTCCTCAGACACTGAGCCATCTTTCTTGAGAAGTTCTAGGTCTCCTGAGCAGCATGCCAGAGACAACACTCCAGTGTCAATAAATTTGTACAACAGAAAGTCAAGAGGAAAACAGAGATAGGAATATGGGTTCAACACTGAGTAACCCACCAGCATCAGTGTCCTCGAATAGTTTCAGCTACGAGTATGTCTAGTTTGGCAATCTATAGGCATGAGCATAAGAAATGATCAGTATTTGCTGTAGCAAACACTAGTCATTTCCTGTTGCTGATTCTGCATGTTGCATTCCATGATTCTACGATTCCTTTGCAGCCAACACCTCTGGGACAATAGGGGTGCAATAGATCCTGACAGCACTCACAGCCTCTGTCAATCCTAGTCTCTGAAGGTGGATTTTGAGATATGGAGGAAAGAGGGGTCTAGGAAATCCAGGACCTCAGATACAATCCTCTGATACTCTTGGGCCTCTAGTGTCTATGGCAAGGGGCCTCCGAGAGAACTGGCACAGGCATTCCCCTGACTGCACAAATGAAGACTGGAAGAGCTTTGTCATTGGGACTGTGTTCCAAGCAGAACCTTCCGGAGTTACTTACACATTATGCTCCGAAACAGGCAATGCAGGGTTCAAAAGAAGGAAATGAACCAAAGGAATTCCATCTCATCTGGGATCCTGAACAAAAATGAATGTGTACTGGAGACCAGGGGGAAAAAAGTAAAACCTCCAGATGTAAATAAGCAAGGTATTAGGCAAGTCTCAAGTGAATTTATTGTCTACCTATCTAAGATCAATTTAATTCACTGTTCAATTAAAAGTTCCTTGATAGATTGCCTACACTCACATATGGCTCATTTCAGGTGTGTGTGCGAATAACTAATGAAGCAAGAGTTGAATACAAAGAGTAATCTGTCTACCAAAATGTATCACCTCCACAAAACCATAAAACCAGTTCTTCCTTTCTGATTATGTCATGGCAAATGGGTCTCCAGTTCCAACAGTTTCTGGAATCTATGGCTTTCAACAGCTAACAGCTGTTTCTGGTTTGTTTGTGCTTTTCTAGCTATGTACAAATCTGACTAGACCTACATAATCCATATCTTCATGGAAAATAGTTAACAATTATTTGGAAATAAGCAATATTGATGTTAGAGATGGCACAACAATCCTCAGAGTTTGAGGACTGAAGATCAGGCAACCTGGATCTTCTGGTAAACTAGGCTCATTCAAACACAGCCAAGTGCATTTAGGAATTAATGAGGCTCATCCTTGAAGTCAGGTTTTAAAAGGAACCACAAAAATGGCTTGGAGCCTGGGCAAAGCATCTTGCTATGATAACTCTGCATAATGAGTTAAGATGCATGACATAATAATGTGCATAGCCTAAAGCTCAAACTTCTTTGTAGATGCTGCCCATTCAGATTTTAAACAGCCATAGCATAATTTTAGAAAGATTAAAGACTTTGCCAAAACTGTTATTTCCTGAATTAGAATCCTCACCAAGTTTTAATGTGCTTCTTTTAAACAATTCATGTCTTGGTTAATTTATGTTACCAGTTCTTACTGTCTCTCTGTGAGTAAACCTTCTGTACCAAATTATTCAATCTACATTTAAAAATTAAAGAATAGCAAAGATAGTATGATCATGGCACACAACTACCTTGGGGCAAAAAAGTGAAAAATCCTGAAAGGGTCTTCAGTATAGTAAAAAGAAAGATAAAGAAAAGTAACATCTGAAAGCTTAATTCACTATATTCACATTAGAAACAAGACACCGGTTCAAGCAGGGGTTTAATCACTGGAACAGATCCCTGTAAAGAAAAGTGAATTCTCCATCTTCTGAATATATCAGGTCTAGGCTGGATAGCTAATAAAAAATTTCCAAGAGTCAAATGAATCACAGAAACAAAGAAGTAGAGGACAACAGAGACATGCAGCTGTCCTCTGCTAAGGGAAGTGTGTCACAGAACTCCCTCCATAACTTTTCTGAGCTCCACAACAGAATAACTGAATTTAAATACATGGATGGCATTTAGCAAGGAGTCAGACTAGGTGGCACGGCGGTTTTCTTATGGTCTATCACTCTACAAAAGTAAATCTTTCACCCCTGTCTTCAGTACAATAGAAATGGCAGAAGAGATGAAGTCTGAATCACACTCTCAGTCTGTGTAATTACATTCTGTCATTACTTTAACAATGAAAACAGAGACTATAAATTAGTCCACAGGATGAAAAAAACAGTTTTCAATTAGATAAAAAGTCATTTACAGTGGTGCTAGGAATTTTGATTTTAAAAGTTTAAGCTGCAGTACAAGACTCCAACACTCTGCATTCTATTATCTGACAATAACAGAATGATTCTATTATTGTCAGCTGCTCTATGGACACTGCAGTACAATACTAGCTTTGTTGAAGCCCAAGAGCTGTGATAGAACAATACTAAACAACTTCCCATTAAAAGAAAATGGGGATTTCAAATGTTTTCTTCATCTGAAAATTGCAACAAAAATAAAAATTAATTTTATCGCACAATAGTTGTATTGCCACTAACTAGCAAAATTCTATCCCAAAGCCAAAGAATTTAAAGTAAAAAATCCCCAAAAATTCTATCCCAAAGTCAAAGAATTTAAAGTAAAACACAGTTTCAACTATTTTTAGCTTGAGGGTGTGTATGTATTCACTGAAGTATAAATCTTGACATATTTCTTTATCATAAATTAAATTCAATTTTAAGTCATAATTTATGTAGCCAAGTAGCATCCTCCTATGGTCAAGGATACTGTGGCAAACAAGAAGCTGTATTTGAGATTTTAAAAGAATAGTACTAAATAGTACTAAATAGTACTAAAGTTTTCAGAAGTTTAAAAGTTGGCTTAAAAAAAGAATATTGGTTGACATTTTCTTGAATATCCACTGTTGCCATAACATTATGATTTTTACTACTGAAGATCCCTTAGCATAAGCTTACTTTGCACAGTTGACTGAACTGTGCAGTCTGTTGCACAGAAAAATAAGGCATATACAGTTTTAAAATAAACAGCTGTAAAATGCCTCTATATTTCACATACATATATGTGTGTGCTTTTCAAAATATGTTTCAAAATAATTGGTTTGCATAGCTGTAAAGTACAAAAATTGAGAGAGAAATTAAGGACCTGAAATCTTCTTTTAATTTCAATTCCCAGTGTATTGTCTTTGGTTTCTCTTTTGAACTCGTCAGATCATCTGTGTATCGTTTAGGGCCACGAGCATTTCCAAAAAAGCCAAGATGGACCCAGGTTTTGTATGGGAGTTCTTTTCTCTCTTGTTCACTGTTTCAAAGTGTTTTTCAAATACAGGATGACACACTAATTGCATAAGCTGAAAATTGCTTCTCAGTTCGTGATTTACCATTAGTAACTCTAAAAGAACTATCTGCCTTTCCCTTAGTAGCTCTAAGTGATTTTAACCCAGCTGATATCATTAGCAAGCACTGTATTTCCTTCTGGTCAAGAAACAGTTCCCTACTCTTCTCTCATTCACCAGGGTAAATTAAACAGGTCAAAGCTGTACAAGCTTTTCAAACCCCCCCTACAGGAATACCACTTCTCTTCCCACATACTCACCCCATTAATATCACAAGTGCCTTCTAATTTTTAATCTGATCACAATGCTCACCTGAAATGTTATATTAATATCTGAAGTGGTATCTACTGCTCAACTTTGAACTAGGATAAAAAACAATTGTTGACTGTGAACAAAAAGGTTGCTACAGTTCAAGAATTATAAACCCTAATATATATTCAGTTGCCAAAAAAAAAGTTTTAAATAATAACCAGCTATTCGAGGGCTATTTGGTTGAGTGATTGAATGAGTTTACCCTAGTTTCATTCACCCAAGAGTAGGCCTGGAATCAATAATCCATTCTTGTTAGGTTGGTTCTTCTTCCAGCTCAACACCTTCTCAGTTGCAATGACTGACAGATAATTTCACTGTTATAGTAAAAGCCTCACAGGCTCACGATAAGGATCTCTAGGACCAACTGTTTTCCCTGCCAGAAAACTGTAATGAGCTCTTATTTCACACCACTCTGGGTGAAAAATGAGACCAATAAAGTCTAAAAAATTGTACCAAGTGTACAACCCTGCCTTTTGTTAAAAAGCTGCCTTCCAGAGAACTCCAATCTTATCAAGAAAAGGGAACACATGTTTGCATTCTCTAACGAGCATTTACTTTGAAAAAGTGACATTCTCAATTGTATTTAAAATGTTGCAATGCACTTTCAAACGGTGTGAGTAGCACTTCGGTGTCCACAGAAATATTTACTTGGCATCTTTTCACTATTTTAATAATAGCTGAAGCCAAAGAAATTTCATAGTCATACCAAAAGCAAAACTAGAGCATGCCAAAAGTCATCTAAACTGTATGTTATATCTCAGCTCACACTGCAGGGCTCTCTTGAACATGCCTATACCCCTATAATAAACACTCTACCTCATGTGAGCCGTGACATGCATGCTGAGTTTTGGCAATATTATACAACTTTTTCCCCAGTCCTCCTACTCCCTTCCAGTCTCTCGTAAAGGAATAAAGAAAATGCCCTAATTCAATGAAGTGGCTGAGACTGGGGAACAGATCTCATTTGTGATTTACAGAAAAGATACAGCAGCCGTTAGAGAAAAAAAGATGCTAGGGTGTCCCCTTTACATAGCAGACCCGGGTCATTCTGTGAAACACAAGAAAGGGGGGAAAATAGATACTACCTCAGCTTGTAAGAAAGTAAGCTTGACGAACTCTCTGAGTGTTCATCTTCAAAGCACTCTTCCCTTCCTTCATATGTAAACTGGTTATATGGCAAATACAGAGGTGTAGACTTGGCTGATGGAGACTGTGAGGCCTCCGTCTGTGATGTGGAAGGACCTGGTTGCTGGTTTTCATGCATTTTCACATCGCTGTGGTCTGTCACTTTGGATAAGATCCTATCGATGGTTTTGTAGTAAGGCCAGTCAGGTGCAACAGTTTCACTGTCAGTCATGCATTTTAATTTCCTGTAAGAAAAGGCATACAACATTAAAGCTTGTTTTCTTATGAAGGTACTTTTCTTACAGATCTTCTGTCTCAAAACATTTGTTCTGGTCACATTTAGGAGTCAAACTGAATACTTTTCATGAGAACAAAATCAGACACTTTTTTCTTTTGATCTCCAATGACGCCTTTCTGTTTCTCTTCCTAGTTTTGCCCTGTGATTAAAAGTTGCATGTAAACCCCAAATGAAATTCAATACAAATAAAGATCATTACAGCTTATAATGGAAAGTGTACTTTTGGTTGTAGAATAATTTTTCTTCCCCTTACAGAGTGCCAGACTAATCAATCTGACAGCAGTCCCTGACAACTAAAGTAGGCAACACATCACAGCCTTATCCAAACTCTGGGCAACCCTGTCCTTCCATGCTTTCAACAATAAATATTTCTTTTCCATGATGAATACAAGTGACTATAAGTATAATTCATATCCTTTTCCTAATACTGCCTAAAAGCTCTGGGTTGCCTAGGTAAACATCCTATTAACAACCATGAGATGGTAGATGTCTGTTCACCTTTTACAGAATAATGATCAGCGTAGGAAGAAGTATAGAATTTAATTAATTTACAGAAATAACCCTAACAAAACCAGTCAATATTGCATTACAAACAGCACACACAAAACAATTACAGTGACAGTGAAAGGAGTATCAACCATGAACTTGTCTTTCACATGCATCTTACTATGAGATCTATTAACCACTCCTAACCCAGTGTTCACCTCTATCCCACTCAGTACACATTCTTATTTTATTTATTTTTACTGAGTAATATAAAACTGAGGTATACAAATGAATTGTACATCTCAAGTAAACTCCAGTGCCCAGCTAGAGTCCCAAACTTTCTTTCTCTTTCCCTTTCCCAGCTTGGATCTTGCTACTCTAAATCAAGATGCAGCAAGGTAACACGACAGGAAAGGCAAGACCAGTGACAAATGCTCCATTTTCATAAACCAGATTTCATTTAAATTAACAAAAAGCTGAAACAAATCTAATTCTCACAGCTTTCCACATGAAGAAAAAAGGATAAAAACTATTCCTGGACACCTGGCCCACCCCCTTTTCTTGCAGCCTTTCAGGTTTTTCATCCTCAGAATCCATCCTGCCCACACCAGTCTTGCAAAGGATAGAACTAAGTAACATGTAAACACAATAAAAATGGTGCCAAACTTAAAAGTGAGAACTTCAAGTTCTTCCTTTTAGTTAGCGTTTAGCCTAGAGTAAGGGGAAATCCACCAGCAAGTGAAAAAAGCAGTAAGATTTGCTTAGGTTTTAAAGCCATTTAAGGATTCTTTTTTCCTTATTCTTGAAAGGTCTGGTGAGCTTTTCCAGGTACTTAGAAATGCACATCACAGTCCTGCACAGCAAAGCCTCCTCAGCCATCCAGATTTGTATGCCCTCTATGCATTCAAAATTCTAATTTCATACATGTTTGCAACCTACTGCTGTGACTTCATAGTCAGAGAATATTTAGCACAACCTACAAATACACAGCACAGAAACAAAACAGCTAAATACAAGGCTGACAGCAACCATCATTTGATATTGATTATTTTTAGCTCAATTATTTAGGCTATTTGCATGAAAAACATATCAATTAAACCATTATAAGCTACTAGCCAAGTCCACGTTCCACATTTGTTTGCCCATCTTGAAAAAAATACATTCAAACAATGGGGTTTAAAACATAACTATCCTCAGCAGCTAGCTGCAACACATTCACCATGGTTGGTCATCTCCATGGGCCAGGCAGCAAAAAGCCATGTGTGTGCACATCTCAGCCATGCCATGATTTGGTGGTAGATGCCCCAATCTCTGCAAACATTCGAAGTCAAGTTGGATGGGGCTCTTCGCAACCTGACTTAGTTGAGGATGTCCCTGCCCATGGCATGAAGGTTGGACTACGTGACCTTTTTAAAGGTTCCTGCCAGCCCAAACCATTCTATGTTTCTATGCAGTTTTCAGGAGCAGGTATTTTGCCTGAGCAAGTCAGTACTTTGGTTTCTATGTTTGAGCTCAGCTGTGCACCCCAGATCCCATTTCTTTACAAAACTATCATGATTTTGAAGGAAGAGTTGTTGTTTATCATCTGCCCACACAGCTGTAGAATTGCAGGTATATAAAACCAGGTATTTCTCTGCCTCTGAATACATTGAATGAATACTAATTCTTCCACTTCTGACTGCTTACCATAGCTCTGGGCTAAAAAAAAGGGATCACTACCAGGAGGTAGGCAAGACAATTTTGTTAGCTTAAAAGCAGCACCAGAAGCAACCATCTACCTGTATAGTGTCTGGCTCATACATAAAGAAAAAAGGATGAAATAGATGGAGAGATGGGAAGATAAAGGGGGAGGGAGTGCCAGTCCTTTGGAAAAGAATTAGGAACACTGCAGGTGGAGGAAAAGAGGAAGACATTCACTGCGATAGTGTTGACGGTTTAGCCTTCTGGTAAAAAGGAGAAGCCTGGAGCAGAGAAGGCTGCGTGGAGACCTCATAGCAGCCTTCCAGTACCTGAAGGGGGGCTTATAGGGATGCTGGGGAGGGACTCTTCATTAGGGACTGTAGTGATAGGACAAGGGGTAATGGGTTAAAACTTTAACAGGGGAAGTTTAGATTGGATATAAGGAGGAAATTCTTTACTGTAAGGGTGGTGAGGCACTGGAATGTGTTTCCCAGGGAAGTTGTGAATGTCCCATCCCTGGCAGTGCTCAAGGCCAGGCTGGACAGAGCCTTGGGTGGCATGGTTTAGTGTGAGGTGTCCCTGCCCATGGCAGGGGGGTTGGAACTGGATGATCTTAAGGTCCTTTCCAACCCTAACTATTCTACGATTCTATGATTCTAAAAACAAAGCAAATGGCTAACTTTGTAATATTAATATCAATGTCATAACTGATCAAAGCAGGTCTTAGTTGCATTCACAATGTAAAGTTGGGGATTTTGTTTGTTTTGATTCTCTGTGTTTTGGTCTGTTTTAATGAAAAAAAGACTTTAAAAAGAAACAGGGAAATGATAAGGTTGGGATGCAACAGTCCAGAAATGAGAGGGGAAGATGAGCCAAACATTCAACACTTTGAAATTGGGCAAATTGCTGCCCGTGTCAGCATGCCAGGCAGAAAGATTAGGTAGGAAACAGGGGTAACTGAGAAAGTCATCAGAGCTCACAAACTAAATCCACAGTGAGTTTATCTAGACCTGTTGCTGTTTCATGAGGCTCTATTAAAAACCATTTGAGAGCAGAGGCAACTGAGAACTCCCTCCCAAAACTCAAGGATCAGAGTCAAGTTTCCAGTGGACAAATAGCTGAAGCATGAAGAACACTGTCAACCCAGGTAATCTGAAAGGTGGTTACTTTTCTTATTGCAGACAAGTGAATGAATTTATGGGCTTTGAGATCCTGCTGCCAAAAAGCATCACTGAATGGACTGAGACAACAGCTGAGTAATTCCTGCTGCCACTGACCTTTCTTCAGACTTTGTTCTGTGTCTATTAATCCACCATCTAAAATAAGATTATGACAATATTATGTTCTAAAGCGTTTTTTAAATCACCATTATTTAGTCAGTAAAAAGCACACAGTCTCTAACTTGCCACTTTTTTTAGGCTTTGCTCAAAACAGTATTGCTTTTTTATTATTATTACAGTGTTTGATATTACTACTTGCCTTAAGGAACAGATACAAGATCCATCTCCTGGGGTTTCTGAGAAAAGCTTTCAAAATAAATAATAAATAGCAACTGTTCGTGAACCAATCAATGGTGAGGAAAAGAAAGATGTATGAAAGTACAGTCCTAAGTTGTGCATCTGCTATAAATTATTGAAATTAAAGAGGAAGATAGTAGAATATTCATATTCAACTTTCTGCAGTAATTTGGCTGTGCTTATATTTTATCACTTGCTGTAACAGAGGTCAAATATTCCAGTTGTTTAATGTCACAGTAGAGCAACCGATTACACAAGCAGCAACATTTAATTGCTATCATGTACACATGAAAATAAAAAATTAGACTAATCTTTTATTCAAATCATGAGACTGATTCAAATTTAACAATCATTAACATTAATTGACTGCAATTCAAATCAAAAAGCAACAGCTGCATCCTGGTTTGGAGGCTTTGCGGAGGGTGATGGTTTTGAAAGTAATAAATTTACGTTCACACAGTTCTTATTTTTAAACATCAGAAGGAGTCAGTCAAAACTGTGGCCCCCTGTGCAGGCTTTACAAACCCTTTTGCTTTCTATAAACCAGCGTGCATTATGTCAGTGGAAAAACAACAGATACAGTGCACTGTTACACACTGAGATCAGCATATTAGCGGTGACAGGACAGCTTCTTTCAGAAGGACTAATTACAGGTCCATATGTGCTGAATGCCCCAAGTAGCCTACATAATAGCAAGAATTCAGCACATACTCTTAAGTAATGCTAAACTGCAAGAGCTGGCTTGCTAATCTCAGCAAAACTTTTGATGACCAGCACATCAGAAAGCTTAACTTTGAATTCCAGCAGGAATTGACTCAGCCTTTCCTTCTTCCAAGGTGGATAAATAGGGAGGTTCACACAGCTCACTACACAGATGTCTATAATACCAAACATTAAAATCCCGGTGGCTGACCTTTCCACAGCAGATATTTTGGATATCATAGCAATTCCTAAAAGCAGAATTTTCTTCAAATGCACCTGCAAAAAAAAGTTTTCCTTCCACCTATGGTGCTGTGCAGAATTTTCCACCCAGGCACATTTCCACGGTGGATGAAATGGGTCTTTAATACACTGAGACTCCAGTCAGAATTATTTCAGGTCGTGGTATATTTTTCCCTGAGTAGTTTCCTCCAAGTGCACCTGGACTACAGTAATGCAGAGGAGTAAAGGAATTGCTCCCAGGTCAGCCCATTGTCTCACTGCCTCACCTCTGAGAAAGGTCAGCGCTAAATACTTCAATCATTTTGATGGACAGGTTTTGGGGGCACATTTGCCCATAAAGACACTTGGTTATTTTTCCATCAACAGCCGATAATATCCTGAAACTTGTTGTCTTTTATAACTTTGTCTAATCTGAAGACAAACAGCATCTGTATTTTAGTTTAATAAACCTGATCTTTAATAAAAATAATAATAAAACAACCTACCACTCTCTTGGTGTCGATGATTTTCAGTGGTAATGAGTTCCATGTGCTTATTATGTGGTGTTATACACATTTATATGACTAACTGTTTTATATGACTAACTTCTTGCCTTGCAATTCCAATAAATAACTTCTTATATTACAGCAAAAGAAATACCTGCTCTATACTCTGAAAACAGTACTGTATATTTTTTACGCACCTCCAGAACTCCTTTATATTTCTTTACCTTCTTTCCAAGAGAGTCACAAACTTTTCCATTTCTCTTAATAAAGAAAGCTTTCCACATCTCAGCCTAATTGTGTTTTCTAAACATCTTCTCATTCTCTTGTCACCTCGTTGAAATATAGGGCAGTCAGAAATAAACAGAAGAATTCAAGACTGAAATAATGCCATAAAATAGATTTCTATAATGGCATTTTAACATCTAAGTAATGTTTTTGCCTCTGATGTAGAGGAATGGGATATGATCACCCTATTTTATTGCTTTGTGACAGATGCTCACGTGCATCAAACTACACCTGAACTAACTTTATCTGGCAGCACAAGATCATACACAGGATCCAAACGCACCCAAACACAGTGTGAATGCTTGGGCTGTGAGCCCATACTGAGCTCTGAGCCACCATAAGCATGCACGTAGTTGCATTAGCTCAAGCAACTGCACTGATTAATTACTGGCTAAGATACGCTCCTCCCTTACACCTATGAATGTTTTCTGACGCTTCTGGACAATGAGTAATGGCTTTTCCTGAGCAACATAAGCAAAACAGTAACTTATAGAGCTTTATCTTAAAATGCTCTGGGATCCTCAAACTGGAAAACACCATTATAAACATGTTCACTGCTTTCTACTTTAGATCCTTTAATGTTTCAGATCATTAGCATCTGTTTCAAGAGATATCCCAAGATAAGACATGCCAGTGATAACACTTTTAACACTGAATGAGCTAGTAGAAATATTCAATTACTGCTTTCCCTTGTATAAAAAGAAATATAAATGTACATATATATGCTTATACATGTATATAGCAATTTCTGGGCCAGCAATTTCATTTTTATAAAATTGTGGCACATAGCTAAATAAGAATATGATCTTACAAAATATTCTAATTCATTTCAGTTAGGGTTATTAAAGTAAGATTAGAGACCATAGCAGCTTTTCAACGCTGTAAAGAGTTGCCTAAGAAAGTAAAGGACCCTGAAGTAGTGGGAAGAAATAACCCCTCAGGTGCAGAACAACCTCCTCGTTCCTGCTACTGGCACTACATTCTCCCAGGTCGTGCTTACAAGCCCTGTGTAATCACTACAAAGCATCTCAAAATAGAGCATTTCCCACTCTCAGGATCATCCTTTTTCAGTTTATATCACAGTGCAGCAATGAAGCCCAGAAATACAGTGAGGTAAAGCATCTTTCTCAAGTATCCTGCAGGCACCAAAACATGGATTAAAACTCAGCTGCCTCACAGCAAAGCCAGCACTCAGGGGCAACTCACATCATTTCCAGTTTCAACACAACGTTTCCTATCCTTACACACCAACAAAAAGTGCCCAGAAAATGAGAAATCATAAGCCATAGCTTTTGTTCTTCACTGTTCTCTCTCCCACCTCGCCTTGAAAGCAAAGCACACAGGCGTGCTTTGGATAAGAACAAACAATAAGAAAGATGCATTTCATATTCAAGATTACAAAATGAAACAACACCGTGACAGTGCACGGCAGTTTCCTAACTCTCCTAAATTAGCATCTGAATCAATAAGCAGGGAGCTGCAATGCACTGCAAAATAGAAAAGCAGCATGACAACATGCCACAGAAGCAATCTGAGAAGTTCACAGAAACATAAAAAGGATTAAAAACAAAAAGTGCTGTTTACACACACACACATAGAGTGCATGGGAGTGATTTTGTTTCCTCCCTTCCTCCGATGCAACTTTAAAGTATATTAATTAGAAGAGCTAAGATGGTCTGACTGATGACAACGCTGAAAATTTAGAACAAAGCCAGACAGAAATAGCCTGTTCCACTTGGCAATTACAGCACTTAAATATCATGCAGTGTTGCTAGACACCTGTAAAATCTTGGTGAAATACATTTCCCATCAGGGAGGACAGCAGATTTAGCAGACTAAGCAAAGGCCTGTTAACCAGCAACTCCCGACTTCTAAATCTGCATCTGAGTCTGAATTTCTGGGTGATGCTGGGCAAAAATTCATCTTACTTCCAGCTTTCTCCTCTACAATCTGGATGAAGAAAATGCCAAAGGATTACAGCAGGGTTAGTGAAACATTTCAGAGACATTACCATTTGCTGCAAAACATCAAGTTTAATATTATGGGAAATGACGTTAAAGATTATGCTTGCGGATCATACAAATGCAGAAGGAGGACATTCAAAGTTAAGGGGTTTACAGGATTTTCCCTAGTTTTCTATTTGATGAGTAGTCTCTGCATTAAATACAGCAAGGGTGCCTTACAGAAAAGCGAGCAGTTTTAACATGGTTGCCTGCTGTAATAACCTTTTTTATTATTAATACAAGCTTTGAGGAGAGATTAAATGAAAGAGTCACATATTTGATTTTCTTGCATTACAAGCACATAGTTGAAATCACCACTCAGGATTTCCAGTGTGAGGCAGTTTGTGCCTCACAGAGATAAGAATTCAAGAGAAAAAAAAAATGGGGAGGGAAGGGGGGGGGGAAGGAGGGAAGATATGCAGATATTTCTGTTAAGTTCTAATTATCTTGCCCCCCTGCAAACAACAAATGCACAACTGCCTCCCGTTTTCTAAAGCCAACTTCCCCTCCTGACTAACACTGCCTGTTCTTTATCATCCCCTTGTAGACACCTCCGCCCTCCCCCCGGCTCCTTTGGAGCAGTATTGACGGTGCACATTGATTCTCTCTCTGCAGATATAATAGTTCTTTCACTGCTGCTGCTGCTGCTTATAATTATAGCAATATGTGTCACTCAGTAATAAGACGTTCAATTATTCTTGGCCCCGTGAAGCGTAACCCTTCAACTCACAAGACCAAAATCCAGGCGCTTCAGCCCCCCCCCCAAAAAAAAACATGATTTTCTTTGCAGTTATTTTTTCAAACTTTGCCTTGTATTCCCGATTCTCACTGGCCACTTCAAACTGCAGGAGTTTCACTGCAAGGAACTGCTGCCAGGCTACCACCACCAGTCCCCTCAGCAAAGAGAAAAAAACCATAAAGCTCTTCCCCCACTAAATGCATTTCCATCCCTCTGCATCATTACAACGGTAGCTGATTATAAAGAAACAAAGTTGTCCCGGAGTTTGACATGAAATGGGGGAAAAAAAATTAACAATGACGTAACAGCAGTGGCAAGAGAGAATTTTAAAAGCGATATGAACAATCTTTAATCTTTTATCGACAGATTTCCTCTAGGAGACTTCTTTCTGAAAGGCAAAAATCACTGCGTTGCCCCTGCTAAAGTCTCTTAAAATAAAAAGAATTAACTGAAGCTTACCTGTACTGGAAAGTCATATTTGTAATTTTTATCTTTATTTCCTCTCCGTGGCGAATTTCTCCAGTCATTTCAAAGAGTTTGTTAGCCATTTTCTCATAAACTTTGGCATTCCTTTTAGTTTGTTTCAGCTCATCAAAAAATTCTTCCCAAACCAGCATTAAACCTCTCATTTCTGCATCAGTCCAGTTTCTGGCCCTCCTGTGTTTCTCAGTCTGAGAAGAGACAATGTAACTGGGAATTTCTGCTGCAGCCATTGCTGACTGACCTAAAAGGGTTTTAAAAGAGGACACTTAATATAGATTGAGTTTTTAGTTTAGGTTTTTTGTAGTGCAAGACATGCATATGTGGATAAAGAATTTGAATGACAACAGAACATATGAAACCTTTTTGCAACAGCTTGAAGCTTGAGTGCACAAAATGGGGCCTACATCTGACAGGCAGGAATTTAGTTAAAAGCTTTTAAACAGAGAAACGTCATTTTGATGTCACGTTTCCATAGCAACAGAGCAACTGCATAAGCTACAACAACAAAAACCTTTTAACTGAAAGCCAAAGAATCAGGACAAAGTTGACAGGCCATCAATATTAAAGCTTTTAAACACTTTAGGTTTAACAAAAAAAAAAAAAAAAAAAGAAAGAAAGAAAAGATCTATGCAGCCTTTGAGAAGCTACTTTTAAGTTTCTACTTCTTTTTTAGCTTTCCCTTACCTTTTAGGCAGACAATCTGCTAGCAGGGGGTCATGGTCGCCTGAACGAGCTTTTAAGTTGTGCCTTGACAGACTCTCTAGGAGGTTGCAAGAACTGAGACCATGTACACAAAAAAAAAAACCTTTTTTTTTTAGCAAAGATATGCTGCAAAAAGAATCAGCCAGCTTTCGGAAAACTATACATCTCTAAGCTAATAAATGTTTAAGCAGGCAGGCTCATTAAAAAGGAGCCTGCATCTGGGTTTAACAACACGCAGAAAATAGCATTTAAGTGTTTAAATATAGAGAGAAACGTATACACAATTTCAATATAGAGCCACTTCTTTTTTTCATCCCCGAGATGTTTTGCTGCTGATAAGCACACACTGCAGTCCTGTCAGTATGAATTTGCCTTTGTAGGTATGTATTACTGTATGTGTATTTGGTATTCCTAGTAATTTAGATGCTATTTATGCAGCCTGTGTTCTGCCTTAGGACTGCAGCAGAAGCATTTCACCTGCTTTATGGGGAACCTAAAAGGATTATTCAATGAGTTAAAAAAAGGCTGTGAGATGCTTAGAACTGTGAATAAATTGCTCTGCTGTAAAACAAGCATTTTGAGCTGGTTTCTATATAGGGCTAAATTCTGCCAGCAGTTATACAGAGAAACACCTCTTACTCGATGCATTAAACGTTGTGCAACACAAGCAGTGGGCCACATTCTGCCCCTGCTCACACTCCTGCAATCTGGCAATAACCTTTCACAAAAGAGAGAGATGCACGAACTGCATTGATTCAAGCCGTACTGCCAGCTAAAGAGAAAGATGTTAATTTCCTACAGCCCCAGTGCAACCGTGTTATGTAAAATATAAATAAATAAACCACGGACCTTTCTTATTATCATTTTCTGTTTCAGCATATACGAGCAATAACGACCTCACTGCAGGGCATTTCCTGAAGATTAATGACAGGCAGGGGTTAATGGCCTGAGGCTCACCCAGTCAGTCGTTAATCCCCAGGAAATGTTCTGTGCCTCAATCCTTAATGCTTAAGTATCCTATAAATTGTAAGTCTTCTCATAACCACATCCTCGATCTTAACAATAGTTTAAAAATGCACGGCTTGGTTTGCATCCTGGAGAAGGCAAAGAGAACACGTAATGTTCCTAAAAGGTACTCTAGTAAAACCTCTAGTACCGTTGCCTTCTTTCTAATTTATTTATTCTATTGTGCATTACAAAAGGCACAACAGCATACCATAGAACACGGAGAGGGAATCACATATACTGTACATAGGAACTTCCACTGATCATGCCTCTGGAGTGTGTCTCTGTCAGAAACGTACCTGCTGAGTCACTGCCTTCCTTAAAACAGGGAAAATAAATCCCCTAGCTTCCAAATAACTGCTTTTAACTACTAATATGACAGCCTAGCAACTATTACCTTTAAAAATGTGTAAATAGCAGCATATGTTGTGATGATGATCTTGCATGGGTTGTCTCTTGGGTGGCCAGCTGGGAGATACCACATGATCAGGGGACAGATGGTGGTCAGAAGAGGATCAGCTGGTGACACATTCATTTTATTAATTTATTGTTTCGTCTTGCAATTCCCATCACTTAACCTCGGGCTCCAGGCAGTTAGGTTAATACTACAGTACCAAACTCGCAGCCAGTGGCTGGGGATCACCAGGATGAGTCTAAGGAAGCAATGAAGTGTGCAAGAGGAAAATACCACCAGCCTCCTGTTACAGCGCTGGGTCTGACTTGGGACCAGTGCAAGCCACTGCAAAGCCAAGCTTCCTTTTCAATGATTAATCATCAACTAGAGATTTGTTTCCCCCTCCCAGACTTTAATCCACCTAGGTTCTGAACATGCTGATTAACACCGCGAAAACCTATAGTGTGAGAGACACCCATTGTAAAAACCCAAAGACATGTGTGGTCTCTGCTTCAGAGATCTTTTTAATCTGGTTTCAAGCAGAACAACCAGGACAGGGTGGGGGAGAACCTGTACAGCTGCAACAAGCCCTTTCTGTGATGGTCCACAGCCATTCCTTCCCCTTTTCATCCACATGTGCCTGGCATATACACAGCTGCTCCTTGTGCTCCACACCATCTGCTGGGGCCTTGCCTGGCCCTTGGCCCCAAACCGGGATCTTGCAGAAGGGGGAGCGGGGGGGGGGTGTGTTGCCCTGTACAATTCACATCTCAACTTCTCTGTACGCTGTTTCCTATTAGTGTAATTGACAGATTGATATAGTGGTATAGTGCTATTTAACATCTGCTAAATAAAAGAAATGCTTTCTAATAATGTTTCCCTTATTCCCCTCCCCTCAGCACCAGAGGGGAATCTAAGCTTCCAGGACTTGGGTTTGATCCCCTCCTCTGAGAAAGTCATCGATACCAATTGTGGAGACTCCACATGCCTTCTCTGCTTTGCTGAAGCACTTGAGCCAAGTGGTTGATAAAATGACTGTTTTCCAACATGGAGCTGAATGCAGGGAAAACTTTTTTTACCCCAAATAATCCCTGAAGTCCTCACCAGTGCCTGGGAACTACAGAACCACCTCTCCTGGCTGTGCCTCTCTCTGCTGATGTTCTGCAGATGTGCTCAGTCCCTGGGAGTCACTAACCCTCTGTCCTGGCCCCTGAGGCAGGAGAAACAACTAAGATAGGACCAGCAAACCTTTAGGGGAAGAGCAGCCCTGCGGCAGTGAGAGCCATCCCTCCCCACAGGATAGGGACACTGCGAGGAGAAGCTCTGTTAGCACTCAGTTGCATCTTGCCCAGCTCAAGCCAAAGGCCAGCCAAGACTCATCATGTACCTCGGACTGGCTGGTCACCAAACCCAGAATAACTGCTGGCATGACAAGCTGCAACTGTGCCAGACCCAAGGCACCGATGCACTTGGCGCTGACATCCCTCATGTGCTCTACTCTGACGTCTCTGTTGACGCCAGAATGCTCCAGCATCAGCTTCCTCCAGACTGAGGACCGACCTGGCACTGAGTACAACACAAGCAACTGAAGTTGTAACTGTTCTCATCAATAAAGTAAGGATGTTGCTTCTCTTGGAAAATGCCAGCATACATAATGGAGCTTCCGAGGATACTTTTGTCAATGACTTCCCTCTGTAGGAGAAAGCTGCTCTCCAGCTCACCCCAGTCCCTCCTCTGATGGGCACTGAAATGACAAGTCTAGAAGACATTTTTTATGGACGCTGGCCTCAGTGGGATGGAGGATCTCACTCATGCCCTTCCTTTTAACGCACACCTGCTCCTAAGAGCGTAGAGGAACATGAATTTAATGATCCTCTCACAGATCTGTTCCTCATATCATGTCTAAACCCACTACCTTTATTTGCAATCAATATGTACCAGCTTAAAAGATAGCTTTCACATCTCTTCCACCTTTCATGGTGACTGCTACAGATGACAAGCCCCAAAGAGGGTAGAAGGGTTTCTCATTTGCAGATGTGGATCTAACGAAGTTCATCCATAGGTGTTTCTATGGCAGAGATCAGACAGCTCCATTAATCCTAACTGTCTGTTGACCACACTTCGAGTGATCTCTGCTACCCAACTGTGGACAGCCTCCAGCTGTGCAAATGTGGGTTAACGCACGCCAAATAAAACTTCCTTTGGCCAAGTTTTAGGGAAAGGTGTTTTCCCTTGCATTTGCTGGGAGATAACAGCTCTAGTCAGTCAATTACCAGAGCTCAACCCACAAACTGTGAGCCATTAAACTGTTATTACAGAAGAGCATGTCCGATCCTGCTGATGGGATTGTGGTAGGAGAAGTGAGGCAGCACCTTCTTGGCAAAGCAGAATTTATTCTATTAGGATGCAAAAAATTTCTGCAGCCTCTCCTAAACGTATGTGTCGGCAACCCAAATGGGCAGCTGCCTATAGAGGTGCTGACACACAGGTTGGTACCTGTTTGTATTTCAGAAATGGAAATACGTTAGTTTTGGTTCAGGTAAGTCTTGAGACCAATTGGCTTCCTCCCAGTTTTAACTCTAAATGCACCGAGCACCCTTTTAGGCAGCAACTCAGAGCAGGGAAACTGGGAGAAGGTCCCCGCTGGAGGGCCATAAGAAGTACGCATCACCCCTCAAAGACACAGGTCCAGCTCTCTAAAACACATGGGTATTTCAGGACACCATCCAATAATGTCTTGATTACATATAACTCAAAAAATAAAGCTGCTTGCAGCCTTTTGTGTTTGAGGCAAGCTGTTGAAAGCAAGATCATCCAAAGCACAGGCTTGTCATGGCTCTTTGCAATTCTACAATCTGGCCCATCAGGAGTGTAACACATTGGGGTTTGCAGTGCAGTTGATACTGTGTTTTAAGTTCAAAAAAGCTGTCTGCATGAGTTGGGGGGTTGTCACCTGCCCCATGTTTTGCTGCCTACTGGGCTAAAATGCCCACTTTCTAAAGTCTTACTGAAAATGGTAGTTTTAGTGTCTCTGATCACTGCACACTGCAATTTACAAAGAGAGATAAAGGCAATGAGGTAAGAAATACTCTTCCACTACTTCTGAAAACCTTGGCCAGAGGAGATAGGCAGGGACAGAC